TCCTCAGTTAAGTAACTCACCAAATCAACAGTTGGCTGATGGAGAGCTGGAGTGTTTTTTTTTTTTTTTCCAGAACAAAAAATATTGGAGAATTTTCTCCGTATATATCCATTATTTTTTGGTAAAATTACTGCTGGTCCTTCCCCCGTCGGAATTTTTGTTGTTGCAGAAATCTCTTTTTTGGCATTTTTAATAAGATTATCCCATAAACCTTTCACACTGGTAACTGTTCTTTTATCAAGTCCTAAGCTGTTTACAGCATCGGTGATCTAAAATACTGCCTAATGCTGCCTAAACTAATTTTTTTATTCAATATATATATATATATATAAAGGATTATCTCATTCCATATACGATTTCTTCGTTTATTAATTTCCACCTTTCCATCTTTAGACAAATTCTCTGACCGCGCGTTTTTTCTCAACTTTCATAGAAGATAATTATTTTAAAAAAATTGTGTAACTTATAATCTGTATATAATATAGTAATAACCTATATATGATACTAATAATTATATGATTAAAATAAATATTTTTAAACAATATGTAAAAAATTTGTAATGTCATTAAAATAAAGTGTTAAGTGTCTCATGCTTTAGTCTAGACTTATTTTTAATGAATAGTGAAACATTTTAAAGATTGCCTAGGGTAACGAATGTTAATTACTATGATGGTATTTGTGAAACATTGCCAGGAAGTTATTTTTTGTAACGAGCCTGTGACGCAGGTTATTGTTTGTCGCAATAAAACGTATATGGTCTAATAAAAAAAAACTGAAAATAGTAAGAATAGAAAATATTCAATGACAATGCCCCAACTTGTTTGTATGCATTTAGTTTTCGCAGAAGTAAGACGTCAAGAAATAGCTTTCCGGCGAGGTCTTAGACGTGAAAGGTTATTTACAGACCGAACCAACCCGCCTGGTACTTATAATGATGTTGACTTATACCAATGGTTTAGGTTTCGTCGAGCTTCTATTTTCTATTTAGAAAATGTGCTGAAAACAGATTTACAACTAAAGTCAAATCAAAGTTTTTGTGTTCCGCCAATCTATCAAGTATTATGCGCACTTCGGTTTTATGCAACAGGACCTTTCCAAATTGTGATTGGTGATTCTTCAGCAGCTTTAAGTCAACCAACTATTACTAGAATTATTCCCCGAGTTTCTTTGAGTCTTGCAAAAAGAGTTAATGAATGCATTAAATATCCAACTAATCCGCACGTTTTAAATGAGAGCAAAGTAAATTTTTATAATGTAGCAGAATTTCCAAGAATAACTGGATTAACGGCACACACATTTGCATACAAAAACCACGCAAGCACGAATATGTTTATGTTAATAGATCATCAAATCATTCAATCAATGTCCAAGCGGTGTGTGATTATAACGGAAAGTTATATTGTCGCAAAATGGCCTGGTAGCACACATGACGCAAGAATTTTAAGAGAATCAAAACTTGGTATAAAAATGATAGATGCCACTCTTAAAGGCTTATTATTTGGTGATTCCGGATATCCATGTTTTCGTTGGTTGCTTACGCCGTATTTAAGTCCAACTACAGCAGCTCGGCGTCAATATAATTTATCTTTAAGAAGAAAAAGGTTTTAATTGAACAAGTGTTTGGAAGGTGGAAAAAACGGTTTCATTTGTTTCATAAGGAGGTTCGAATGACCCCAAAAAGAACCAGCACCATAATTGCTGCGTGTGCTGTATTTCAAAATTTAGCAATAGAATTAAATGATGTGGACATAGATGACAATCTAATTGAAAATTATATAAGTATTCATGAAGTTGCTGAAAAGACATAGTTGCTGAAAATAACTTTCGATTTCGAGATGATTTTGCTTTGCGACATTTTGGACAATAAATTGTTTTAATATTTACTATGTCATAAATTATAAAAGTTTTTTCATATTGTAACGTGTTTTTATTAAACTTTTAATGCTGCAATTTCCCAATTAAACAGCTTTATTGTCTGTTGGCATCGCAACGCTTAAATGCGATGAAAAAAATAGCACGAAAACTAGTTAACCGAGCGCAAACTAGTTAACCGAGCGCAGTGAGCGCAACATAAACATGTAATGGAGATACGCGCGCGTGCATGAAAAATGTATACGTGAGAACAATTTTTGAAGTAAGTCTTAGGTTCAAGAAAACAAAGATAGTAAAAATATCAAAAGATAAAAGAAAAAAGTAGTAAATAAACCTCAAGAAGGAGAGAAGATGCCACAAATTAAGAAATTATTTAAGGTGTTGGACAGATGTCTAATATCAAAGCACAAATATTTAAAAGCAAATATTGGAATTGTGACAATTCTAAATTTTGCTTTTAAATTTTTGCATGTTAAGTTTTTTGCTCTTAAATGTTTTTTTCAGAATAAATTATTTTACTAAAAGATATTGAAATAAATAAGCAATAGGTATATAAAAAATCGATGTGGAATAGATATGTTAAGTTGTCGGACCTTATATTAAATGATAACTTAATCAAAAAACAAGCCAGAATTAGATTCTTAGGAATTCTTGTTGATGAGAAGTTATCCTGGCTTCCTCAAATAAGATATATTCAATCTAAAATCACTAATATAATTGGTATGATGTATCGAGTTCGCTCATATATCAATAAACAAAGTCTTAAACTAATTTACTTTGGCCTAATTCATTGCTTCATCATCTAAGCCAACATATCATAGGCAAGTACGCAACCATCAAAACTTAAGATAGCTGGGCTTGCCCGTTTGTTATGTAAACAAATTTCATTTTTATAGGTAAATTAAATATACCGAGATCTCGTTTAAATGAACCAGCCCCGTTAACCGTAATAGCCCGTCTCATATAAAAACCCCTAAATTAGACACGTCTTTATTTAATATGCCTATAAGAGCGCAATGCTTTTATACCTGTTAGTGTTTTCAATATTTTCTATATTTCGTCAAAACTTATATAGGGTCTCTAGATTACGATGACGTCATCATTTTTATCTTATTTGAGTCCTGAAATGTCTTGACTCCCCCCCCCCCCACCCTCGCTTATAAAATTTTCTGCAGGCGCCCATTTATACGTAAACACTGCAATTTTACTATACTTTTCCAAATTTTCAAAATACTTTTATGCAGAGACTAACTTTATACTTTGTAAAGCAGACTTCATTTTTCAGCCTTTTTTAAATATTTTATATTAAATAACACATTTGTGGTATCGTGTGAAAAAATGCTTTTATTTTTCATATTGATTATAAAAATATCGCGGCACATAAATTTGTTATTTAAACTTATCACCAGGGTAAAACAAACCACTTTTTTAAGTTTCAACTTTTTTTTCAATTTTGATACTGAAAGAAAAACTTAATCTCTCAAAAACTTTCTGCTTTAACGTTGTTTGATGAATTAAAAAAAAAACAATCATTTTGATAAATAAATATTAACACGCGTGTCAAATAGTTATTTATCAAATTAGTTGTTTTGATTTATAAAATTGAAACTTAATAAAATTAATTTGAAATTAATAATGCCTGTGAAAAGTCTTTTCGTGCACTTTTTTTTTGCTTAATTAAAAAAAAAATTATTCAGTTTAACAAAAAAGTTACAAGAGCATAAATAACTTGAGTAATATTTGAGGTAAACGCTTTCAATTATACAGGCATATAGCTAAATGTGGAGGGTGAGGGGTCCTATAGGTAGGCATATAGCTAAATGATTGGTGGAGGGCCCTTAGTAAAATTTTTTCAAAATTACTGAGACAAAGTAAAATGGCTAATAATAAACTATAATAATCATAAAACCATGTCCTTGATGTATGTAAAGTTTTGAAATCTGGTCAAAATAAATAATATTTTTCATTTATTTTACTACCAGCTTTTGCTACAATATCAATGAAAAATAAAAAAGAGTAAGTAGTTTCTGATATTGTAGATATTTGAGATATTGATATTCTAATTTAAATATATTCGAAAAATAATATTCTGAGAGAAACAGCTTTTAAAAAAAATAAACTTTAAAAATTTCCTATCAAAAAACATTAAAACTGGCGAGTATGATTGACCTCCTTTGATCTCTTGTTCAATGTTAAAATAAACAATCTACAATATCAATGAAAAAATTGTAAAAATAGGGCAAAAACATAAATAGACATGCTTGCTAAGGTCATTGCTAATGGTTCGGAAATAACCTTAGAATACAAATTTTGGGGCTTCCTGTTATTTTTAAAAGTAAAGTGGTTGTTGCGATTTAGAATGTTCAAATTGTTCGAATTCGAGAAAAAAAATTTTTTGCTGATTTTAACGGGGTAACATCTAAAGATTCATACAATAAGTGCAATAACGACTGATGTAGCTGTTGTCACTGAAGAGTGTACATACATTGACTGAGGAATTTGAAAACTTTTTATATAAACTTAGTTTATAAAAAAGTTTTCAAATTAAATTACACTAAATTTTGAGATGATATAGTGAAAATAATTAATAATAACTTTTTCAATACGCGCGCACAAATGATAATAAAAAAAATAGCAGTACGCGCGTATCTTTAAAAATCTAATAGTAAAGAAAAAATTTAGTTATACCATGAGTTTTTTTGCAGAAACCTTTTGTTTTCATCGTGTTTATTTATGTTTAATTTGACACAAAATCAGGCAGAAAAAAAAACTCTCTGAACTAAACATAGCTTGTTCGCTTGTTATAGAAATTACTTATCAAACAAATTGTAATTTTATGACAACATTTTTAATAAGTAATTTTTATTATATTAAGCTTGTTATAGACAATCGTGACGTACATAAAAAGTATAAAAACACAAGCTTAGAAAAACATTAAAACGAAACTTGACGAAACTTAACGAAACTAAAAAAGAATTTTTTTTAAATTAAAAAAAGTTTAAAAAAAATAACATGGGGAATTTTTTCTGTTAACAAACTTTCTGTTTCCAATATAAAAAAAATTTTTTTTGAAAAAATTTCCCAAAATTGATAGCATATATAAAGATAAAAATGAAAGAAAGAGTTAAAACATTTTTATTCGTCAAAATAAAATACAAAAATGAAAGAAAACAAAGTAACATCAAGTATGTTTCTTATACTTTATTTTAGTATTATATATATATATATATATATATATATATATATATATATATATATATATATATATATATATATATATATATATATATATATATATATATATATAATTTGTACGTAACTTTTCATTTTAGTCTTAAGCGTGCTTTTGTTTGCAGTTTCTGCAATAACGATATGGAGTTTAATTAGAGGAAAAAGAAATATTTTTCAGACAAACAACATTGCTGCTATCTTCAATGACAATGCTAAAGCAAGTTCTGAGACATATTTAGCCAAAAATTTAATAAACTCAACGCTAAATATGGAAAAACAAAACAAAACAATTGACAATAATAATACCCTGTTTGTTCACGTAAACAACACATTGTTTAAAAACAACCAATACTTATTTTCTCATTATTATGAAGTGCCTACATTATCTTCAGATGAGACAAAGACAAACAAAAGTAAAATATTGAATATTTTATCCTCTCCAGACAATATTGTTAATGCGTTAACATGTGAGCTAAAAAGTTGTTCATCAGCTAATAAATTATTTTATGATATGACCAATGTAATATCTGGTATCCTAAAAATACCTACTGTAACACAATTAAAGTGTAAAATGGTAATCCTATTACTCCTTTTTAAATTTTTTTTTAGTTCAATAGTTTTCTGCTTTTATTCTTTTTATTTGTAATATGAATAAAAATATTTGTTACAGGGAAAATTGACCGCAGCCGAAGAAAACAGCAAACCATTACCTGATGACTATTGTTTATATGCAACATCCGAGTCCTTTTTATCACTACCTAATTGGCCTGTTATTGGAAAATTAGAGGTAATCTATTAATATATAGATATTATACAGTATCATTTTAATAACTGCTTAAATGACATATTTTAATTATTTTTTAACATATCAGATTCGCGTTGCAATGAAAATTTATCTTACTATACTTAACGAAATTCAGTCATCCCTTCTTCTTATGTCGACAAATGAGTCTCTAATAAAAACACGAATAAATTACTTTCAAGAGATTTTAGCTGTAAAAAATAATTTAAGCAATTTTATTAAAAAAATGATCTACGTGTCAACGGTATGTAAATTATTCACTTTGTTTTAAAATAACGTTTTGTAAAGTAATCGTATATTCACCAAGAAATTTTTTTTTTGTTTTTAAAAAATTAGGAGCTGTCTTCTTGCGCATGTTCTTCTCTTGACGACTTTAAAAAGTATTTGAAAGTTTATACGCAGGGATATCAACAATTGATATCAAAGTTTAGTCATTCTAAGAGTGCGTTTGTAACATTAAAGCAGTTAGAAAATACGTATAGGTCGATCGAAAGTGAATTTTGGAGAAGAAAACAAGATTTTATATTGGCATGTTAAATTATTTAAGTTTTTACGCAAAATTTATTTATTATATTTATGCTATAAATTTAAAGCACTCTGTAAATATTTTTTAAATATTAATGATATTAAAAAAACAGCTTATTTATTATATATATATATATATATATATATATATATATATATATATATATATATATATATATATATATATATATATATATATATATATATATATATATATATATATATATATATATATATATATATTTATTTATTTATTTAATTTGCCGTTGATATATATTACAAAAAAGAAATTACAATAAAAGAAAATCCTGGCCGGAGCAAGAAGAAGACAGGTAGTCTTATCACCAAGCCCCGTCACACAAAAATTTACATGCACAATAAATGATAAAAGACAAAAAGTCAGTATAAATACAAAAACAAAAACAAATCAAAAACTTCAGCAATAAAATAATTTGTTGCTAACAATCTTCCAGCAGAATAATTTTAAAAATAAAAAAGTAAAAACGACAAAAAGTCATGAAAGTTATAAAAACACACAAAAAAATGTGTTGTTTAATTAAAAAAAAAAAAAGCAATATATGTAAACATTAGTATTTTGGCTGATTATTTATATCATCAAAAATATGAACGAAAAAGACAATTTTATTTTCCTTATCTTTTATACTAATGGTTTGAAACCATTTTAATAAAAGCTAAAGAAAGTGTTAAAGATTTAATTTATTTTTAAGTGATTTAGTTTAAACCTTTAAATTGTTTTCAAAAAAGGTATTTTAAATCTAATATATCGAGTTCCATGTTCAGTAAATGCCTTTTTGAATCATCCCTAAAACTTTGCAAAGTGCAGTTTAAAACGAAGTTTTGTTTTTTACTAAAGATTGGAAGAAATTCTTTCCAAACTAAAGGTCCCCGATATTGAATTTGGTGCGAACTTAATTTAAGAAAGCTTATGGGAACCACAAAGTTATTCACTGAAAATTTGGTTGGATATTTATGGGAGATTTCATTAAAGTAAGATTGAAATGTTACTGGAGAAAACCCAAGTTTTGCTTTAAACATAAATATCATTACTTGATGAGTATTAAGCTTATAAATATTTAAAGCTCCAAGCTGACGTAAGAGAGGTTCGCATTGTGTTTTTCTATTTGCCCCAAATACTATCCTGCAAGCATGTTTTTGTTTACTATAAATTTTTTTGAGTTTAGTGTGATTAGTGCTACCCCAGGAAATGTTACAGTATATATATATATATATATATATATATATATATATATATATATATATATATATATATATATATATATATATATATATATATATATATATATATATATATATATATATATACATATGTTAAAAAAGTAAAAGATTTTGCAAAGATATGATACGTTTTTAAAGAGACGTTAATTAAACTCAACGGTGTTGATTAAATGATGCCAAACGAGGATGACCTAATTTCTACATAAATATGTTAACATTTGTTGATCAAAAACTTAAAAACCAACAGAAAGAAGACTGATTGGACAATAGTTAGGGGAGGGTTAAAATATTCGTCAGAGTTTCAAACTGAAGTGATTTGAATGTCTAACTATGGCTTAACCTCGAATTAGAAGAAAAGTTATTTGCAAATAGGTCAGCCTTATTTTTTAGTAAGTTATTAAGATCAGTCCTATGAATAAAAAATGTATGTTAAATCTACATTTGTTTATGACGCTGTTGAGCATTTTCTAAAAGTCTCTAAAGCCTAACTGCTGAGATAAGATGCGAGATTTAGTGAAAAAGAGACAAAGAAGCTTAGCATCAGAAAGCACCTTTTTGGATTGATATTTTGCAATAGGTGATAAATAAATAAATAACCATGGAGTAGAATGAGGCTTAACTTGGAACCGACATAAAGAAATAAAAGCTTCCAATCCTTACTGGATTTAAGAGATTACATAGGAGATTTTTTCAGCAGATAAAATCATTGACAACATCTCAGCGTTCACAAACCAAGGAGTGAAGTTAAGCTTTTAGGGTTGTCTAGGAACCGAATCAGAATGTTAACTCTCCGAATAAGCGATTGAGAAATGCAGCAGTCATAAACTTTAGTCCCACCAGGGTCAGTGGTGTTAGAGCCAAGCCATTCAGTGTAATGAGCAATTAAGTCATATTGAAAGCATGAAAGATATATTAAAACAGTTAGGTGGTGATATGGTTTTTTATGTTTAATATTTTTACCTAATTTGGGCATAGTTTAAGTTAAGAGAATTAGACTCATTAATAAATAGAGTACGACATCCCAAAAAATAAGCTTTACAGTAGTATCTCATGTAGAATATATATGAGATACTGCATAGGACCATTGAGATGCTTTACAGTATATCAATCTTGCTAATTAACCTAAATTATAACTTAGGGATCCTTATTTGGCCTTGACAATATGTGCACCAAAAGCATTAACAGAAACACCATATATGTGCAATATGGAACTGTTAATACTTTAGTATTTTAAAGCTGTTTATAAAATCAACTTATCTGAAAGTTACCACAGAGTTTAGGAAACCTTATTAAAAGCCGTCCAAAGGTTCAGACAGTTCACAAACATAAATTATAAAATTTGATAATACTAACTAATAATATGATGATAATAACTATATGATAATAATAACAAATACTACTAAACCTTTAACATTTGTATTCTACAAATATCAACATGATATTGTGCTTTAATAAATAAATCACAAATAGACCAAAAAAAAAAAGAAAAAGTAACGATTAGTACTATTCGCTTAACGAATACTACTATTTGCTTAACGAATAGTATTATTCGTTTAACGAATGTTAGTGCTATTTGCTTAACGAATAGTATTATTCGTTTAACGAATATTAGTGCTATTTGTTAAGGTGGTCCTATACTAAAAAAAATCAAAAAAATCGATTTTTCAAAAATTGTTTTATGAAATCTATAGTCAAAAGGTATATTAAACATATTTGAATATTTAAATGTTACACCAGGTACATTTGCCTCAGTACTGAACCAAAATAGACCAAGAAACAATAAAGATGATGGAAAAAAAGTTAACACAATAAAACAAAAAAGAAAGCTGCTTCGTGCAGAGCGAAAAGGTTTACAGATATAGTAAATGAAAGTGAAGGTGTATCTTATGAAGCAGGAGTTTTTTAGATATTAGTTTTTTGTTACTTTTTTAATTAAATTTATGTTAAGGCAGTTATTGTACTTTTTAACGTAGTTATTGTTTATTATCTTTTTATATTCAAGCTTTTTTTCATTGATTGAATAATTCTATTTTGGTTAAATTTTTTTCAATTATTAGAGTTTTCACATTTTTCTTTTTTCTGTGTTTTTAATAATGCTCAAGTCGTTTTGTTTTCAATAATTTTTGGTCCTTTTTATATATTAAAAATTTTTTTTTTATATTAAAAATCTTTATTATTGTTTTTCTCAATATATGAGTTTTTTGCACGCTGCGATAAATATCTTGAGATTGGTTTGTTTGATTGTGTTGAAATTTTCAGGAGTTGTTTATTATATATATGCACATTCACCTTACCAAAAGAATTAATGTTAGT